TATCATATAGCTTTTTGTTAAGCTTTTCTTAATAAAGTGATGGGCAAGATCACCTAAGTTTAAAAAAAAAAAAAAAACTAAGACTAAGATTTGTTTATATGTTAAACCTTAATTAATATTATACAAAAAATTTGATTTACTATTATATATTAATTACACAGATCTATAATTAAAAAGTATTAAAATACAAATTGTACAGAAAATATATATTATAATATTAGTTATAAAGATTATATAAAACTTAAAAGCAGATTCAAAGCTAATAACTTCTACTTTAAAAAAAGAAGTAATTTGATATTATAAATTGTGAATATAGAATACTATTATTATAGTTTTTTTTTTAGCTATCTCTAATATTGATACTATTTATTACAACAAAGACAAGTAATTTTTATATTTTGATAATAATAACTTTCAGCATCATCAAGCTAATTAACTAAAAATGACTATAGATAGTGTTTGAAATAGCTTTGAAATAGAAGTAGAATATAATATACTTTATAATATTTATTTTTCCAAATTGTAATTTCTATAACACCTTCTACTAATAGTAAAGGAATAGTATTTTTCTCATTATTTTCTGTTAGAAAAAGGAGCTTCTTACATACTATAGAATCTTCTATTAAATCTGATTTATTGTCTACTTCCTATTCCTTGACCATCATAAGTAGTCTTAAAAAATGCTAGCTCTTTTTGTAGTCATCTAACTTGTAATATCTTAATTTTGCTTTAATAATTTGTAAGCAAAAAGTTGTTTAAAGCTTAGTAGATTCAATATATTTGAGTATATTATTTAGCAGTATAATATGAATTAACTAGTTCATATACTATACTTGACTATATACTATATATACAGTATTATTAATTCAACCTTTTAAACTATAGTCTACAATAAAGCAACATTTTGGTACTTTAATTGTTTGTCCTTGAATTCAATAAACTGTTCTTCAGCTAGCATATTTTTATTCAGCAGAAAGTTTATATAATATGATTTTAAATAGTATATTTACTATAGTACTAATATATGCTTCTATAATTTCAATACTATTCAGAATTTGTATAGACTATTCTTAAATATAATACTTATATTTAATACTATTGTTTAGATTGAAACAAATAACTAAAGGCTCATTGTGAAAGAGCAATATATATGCTTGTAATAATATACTTTCAACTTGTATACCTATAATATTTATAGAACAAATTCAGATATTATTTTGAGTTTACTAAGTTAGAGTATTTTTCTATGTTGTATTAGATATAGCCTTACAAAATTCTAGTAATTAAGTAATATTATTTTTTATCTACATATATAATTTTAATGTCTTGAGTTCATTATCTTATGCATAATAGTCTTCTATATATTAGATTACTTTTTTTTTTCTTTGACAGTTGTGTTTTATATATTTATTAAATAAAGAGTTACAGATGACTAGTCTGTATAAGATTTAACTTAATACAAAAACCTATAGTTCTCTCTATATATCTAATTTTCTAATAGAAAGTACTACTCGATACTTTATTTGTATATATGCTTAAACATGACCTGTTGTACTAAAAACCTTTTTAACATAAAGAAAAAGAGAAGTCTAGACAATTTTGTCTAACTATCTAAAAAGACAGACATTAATAAAAATAAAATAAAATTATTACATATAGTAAAAAGTAAGGCTACATATTACATATAACGTTCAAAGCAAAGTTAAAAAAACTTGCTAACAAATTAAAAACCTAACAAGCTAAAAGGAAAAAGAATAAAACAAAAGCAAAAAAAGAAAAAAGAAAATAAAAAGTATCTTGTAAGAATTATAATCTAAATATACAATTCTGTTCAAGACTAGGTAGTTAAAAATTATAAATGCAAAATATACTTATTTGCAAATATCTCTAATATTTGATAATAATTTGGTTATTTTGTTGATTATGTGATAGCTCATTATTATTACAGTAAACTTATAGTTTATATTACAAAATAAAATTATATGTTTGTTGTGCTAACTCCAAATATATATGTATTTGTTATTATTATACTATAAGCCTATTTCTAAATTCATTGATAATATGTATGCTGATCTTTAGTAAAGGTGAAGTCTATTTCCCACTTTTTGTATAAAAAATACTCTAAATTCACCAAATGGTCAAAACTATTCCCAAGACCAGTTGACTCTATTCAAGTATTTTCTTTAATTTTTATATCTAAAGAGCTTGTTTTTAATAACAAGATATATAAAATATATATAAAATATATAATATATATAATATATAAAAGTATTAATAATTTATGAACAGCTTGTAGCCTACACTTCAACGATAGAATATATTTTATTAAACTTCTAGTTTTTCTAGTCTTACTTGTGTATATTAAGTTAAAAAATAGAGTATTATTATATATATATAATTTTTTTCTTTTCATCATTATTTTGGTTTTAGTGATTGTTAGAAAGAGTTAGTGATATACTAGATTATTTCATTAGCTTATTCTATAAAAAACTTATATAAACCTTTTTTGTTACCTTACAGTATAAGTTAATCTAGATTACTACATATAATTATTTGATAGCCTTAGCTTTTAGTATAAGATAACAATCTCTGTAATATCTTTTTAGATATTATATATACTTTATCAAAAATTAGAATTTCAGCAAGTATTTTCTTTTTGAGATATGCAAAATCTCATTTATTGATTGTAGTTGCTTCCAAATAAAAATACTTATAATATATCATAGTTGTTAAGTTTAGATTTTGCTTTCTATAGTACTCAGCAAACAAGTTTGCCAAAGTAAAAACTACAATTTTTCAATTAGAATATATATGAATAGCTCATATTGTTTTTTTACTTTTTCTCTAACTTACTAAGTAAGTTTTTTGCAATATATTAATTTTGAATCAATAGAAAGAAATAGTATTTTACTTAATAGAAAATTTAATAAATCTTTATAATTAATAGTCTAGGATAATACTTCTTTGCAATAGATATATCTAGACTTTTTCTTGTACTATTAACTATACTTAATTTCTGAAATATCTAAAACTATTACAGACTCATATTGCTTTTTTATTTTATCTATTTCTGCATAATATATTTTATAAACTTTCTTTAATTCTATATTATTTTTTGTATTAGCAAAGAACTTTTTATTAAATCAATCTCAAGTTTATTCTCATCTAAAATTGTTTCAGGAATTGTTGTTATATAAATTGTATTAGTATATATTTATAATACATTTTTAATTAGAAAGTATTTTAGCTATTCAAGTATTGTAATATGAGTATAGGCTAGAACAAAGAAGTAAATATGCAACTATTAAGTATATTTTTTATCTTCTTTATACTTTATTAAGGTTCTATACTCATTACTTATTCAGTTTAGCTAATACTTTTTTCTTGCTAACTATTGATAAATAATATCTGCTTTATTTTTGTCTTAAACTAAAACAGATATAACTTATATATTATGAGTATATAATCCTATAAAACATATAGCTAAATTATAATCAGAAGGAAATTCAATACAAGATTTTTTGTTAATACTATATATAATTTCTCTTGAAGTTGCACTTATAAGCTATTTAGTACTGAGTGATAATCTATTAGAGGTATTAGAATTTAACCTTTCTTTTCTATAAAATATTGTCTAATAAGTCCTGCTATAAATATATAAAGATTTTTAGCAAATTTCTATACTATTAGCTAAACAATACTAGTTAAGCAACAGACAGCTTCAAAATTTTCAATACAGATATATTATTATATTTATTTTAAAAATCTATATAATCTAATTCAAGATAAGGCTTCAAATACACTTTGTTTTGAGTTCACATAGCCAAGATATACTCTATAAAAGTCAATATAAATATGTTTTGAAGGTAAATCTATTGGAGCATTCTATACTATTAATTTTACTTGAGAGTTGTATTAAATTTTAACAGTATTTCTGAATATAGACTTGATATTTTCTCTTTTTTTTCAGCAATAAAATTAGTAAAATTAAGCATCTTCTAGAAATTTTTCAAACTTATTATATTCTGCTTTAAGCTTTTGTAAAAGAATTGGTACTGTAAAAAGATAATATTCTCCTTCTATCTATGCTTGAATATCTATTAGCTCTTATTTTAAAAGTTCTTCAGCACTCAACTGCTCACATTGCAATCAATATAAAAATACTGAACATCTCTTCTTCTGCATACTACATACAGTTAATCTACATAACCTTTTACAACAACATATAACCAAACATCTAAAAACACCAAATATAACAAATATATCCTCTCAAACAATTCTTCAAATTCTTACTTCTAGCTACAACACTCAAAACTTTTCAAAGATTCTATACTTATTAATTCAAGGAACTATCTCAATAACCTGCACAGAACAAACAAACATACTACTAAAAAAACTTACAAATAACTTCCTCATACAACTTTCTAACTCTCTACTTCTCTGGTTTAATAATCAAATATAGAAAGATAGAAATCAAAAACAACATGAATGAGAATCTGCTCGTAGTATCTTAAAAAAAACCAAAAAATACAAAAAAATTATATATCCCTCACAAACTTCAAATAATTCAAACAATAATATTACTTACAACCTCAACATAGATAACTATATTAAAAAATTGCTTCT